GAAGGTTTGAAACACACCATTCTGCAGAAAGGGACTGCAGCACAGAGAGAAGGCAAAATGGCTGGTGTGGCATTTGGTATGAGACAGAGGTTGTTAAAGTCCCTGACTGTAAGAAACACCTGCCCCCTTTCCCCAACGGCTGGCACAGCTGGGAGTTACAGTCCTTCAGCCTCTCCAGCAGAGCCCCTTGGTAAATCCTTATTCTGTTAGTTCAGGACACAGAGCCTTATCTAATGACTATTTTGAGCTTGAGACTGGTCCCTCTTCTGAGAGCTTTCCACTTCTCAGAGCTCTGAGACTGGCAGGTTCCTGCGGTCAGCTAGAGGCAAAGGGCCTAGAACCTCCTGTGTATCTGTGACTCCTGGTAAGCTCTGAGAACACCTCCAACTGAAAATTGGTTGTAGCGTTCATTTCTTACAGGACTGACACTTCTGAAACTTAGGGTGAAATAAATCCTTCCTCATGTAAGCTGCTTCTGTCAGGTAATTTGTCATTGTGATGAGAAGTCTGAACACAAAATTATATGCAAAGCGACCCAGGACCAGAAAAGTAGCAACCCCAACCCAAACACACTTGTTAATCATGGCAATGTCCAGGGATTCTCTTGGGAAGATGGAAGCCATTGCTATGGAACCTCAAGGTCATGAGACACCCATGTTGTTCAGGTGTAGGATGAGTCATATGTGTGTCACTCACAGCCCTCATCTCATGAATTCTAAAATAAATCACCCCAAATTCTGAAGCTCCACCAACTTAGTGAGTGCTCAGCCTTGAGAGTACACCCAGAGGGTCCACTGACATTTCAAAGCAGTTCCCAGAATGCAATGTTAGTAACTGCAGGTACGACAGAACGACAGTGGATACTTCAGAAGCTCTCTGTGGTTTCCCTGAAAGCCCCTAATTTTATATAAAAGTTTTTCACAGCTTCTGGAAACAGGCTGTTTTGCCTGTGTTTGACAGTCTCATTTTTTAACTCTAGTAACATTTACGAAAGGCCTGTGCTGGCTAGCATACCAAAGATCGGGGATAAAGCAGACCTAGGCAGAGGCCTTTACACTCATCACTGACATGGCCTTCTGTCCACACTCTTGCTGCCTGTAGTGTACTAAGCGCTGGTGGCATCCCCAGGAGCCCATCAATTACCTGTGCTCAAGCATGGCCTGGTACAAGAAACTATAAAGAATCATGTGACTGAAATGGCCACCAGAGTTTGTAAATCAGTCCCTGAAAGAAGCTAAACAACAGAGTAGTGGCAGCACAGATGGACTTTGGCACTGGGTACACAAAGGAAGAAGTCTTAGCCTCATTAGCTTCCAGTGTAACTGAAACCACACTACCTGTGATGGTTGACCTTCAAGATGTCTTCTTGACTGCATCTACAGTCACCATGGAAACAAAAACACCACTACATATGTCCATGATGATGTTTACAGAAAGGTTTGAATAAGATATGAAGACCTATTCCATGGGTTGGGGACCTGGACTCAGTACAAAGAGGGAAGAAAGCTAAGTGTCATTGTTCGCCACTCTGCTTCCTGACTGCAGATGCAAAGTGTCCAGTTGAAAGGGCTCCGTGGCTTAGCTGGTTAAACCGCCTGCCTAGTCAACAGGAGATCCTGGGTTCAAAGTGACCAGTTGCCTCCACGTTTTCTCACCATGAGGAACTGTCCCCTGAAACTGTGAGCTGAAAAAAACCTTTTCTTTTCCTAAATAGCTATCATCAGGTATTTTGACATAGCAACAGTTCACACCCTAGGGGGTGACCCAGTTTTATTCCTGGGCATCAGAAAATATTTCCCACTATAATATGCATACTTATACTAGGCATAAACCATTGAGTTGGTTTAAAAAACTCATTTGTTTTGAGACAGATGAACTGTCTCAAAAAGTAAAGTCAATGAGTAGAAAGAGAAAACAGCAATACCACGGACTCAGTTAGTACTGTCTTTAACAAAGGATCCTAGATGGAGTATGAAGTCTACCTTTGATGAAGTGGAGAATGAGGAACTGGTACACCAATCTTGACAGTTTTAAACCAAGCAAGTAATATATGCAAAGACTTCCCTGCTTTAGCAGCTGATTTTCATGCAATGAGAAAACATCTAGTGGCATTGGGGTTTTGTTCACATAATATGGGAAAACATACAAATAGCATCAAGTCACCTGTTGAAAAAGTGAACATAATACATGGTAACCAATACTGCCACTGAGTGAGTGGTTTTGGAGAGACAGGTGCACACATACATGGGAACACAGCTGAAGAGATGAAGCAGTGAACACTTGAATGGACTGTGCTGAGTGGAGCGTTGATTCATAGCCGAGTGACAGGTTGCGGCTTGTGGTTACTGCCTCAGCTTGTGGTTACTGCCTCAGTCTTTCTCAACAGTAAGATAGACAAATATGTTGCTTATTGTTTCTTGGAAGTCTGATGGGGAAGACATGTTGGGGAGAATGAGTTCTCTAGACTAGGGAGACGTTTTTCAAATACAAAGCAAGTTTTTGAGTACCATGTTTAAGTAACTGGCAAGGGAGATGCAGTACTCACGGGCATCTAAGGCTACCCAAAAGAAGGGAGTGGAGCAGAGAATTTGGAGTTCACTAATGCCCCACCTCACTCACTGTGAAAACAAGAAGACAAACTCCAGGGCATAGAGCTCCAAGGACCTCAACATCATTGACATACTTAGTTAAAATTGGAATTAGGTAATTTTCAAACAGATACTTAGAACACAACTAGAGCCCATATAACACAGCACAGCATGGTAGCTTGGTCAGGTGGAGCATCCCTCAGTGCAGCTCTTAGGTATCTGTGACAAAGAATTAGCAGCATTGAGGCTAATCGATATGCATTCTTTATATGAAAAGCAGCAGCGATCTAACCGTGCAGACCACTGCTGTGATTATAGGGAGCTGTCAGTGACGTGGTATATAGAGAATACCTCACAACATACGTTCATTTAACCCACCTCTCCATTTACAAATGACCCAGAAAAACACATGCAGGTCTTAGACACACAGGAAGGCTGAAATTAGACAAAACTATGAGAAACTCTCATTTCTCAAATAGATGATTAGAAAAATGTCTCCACCCTCTCAGTGTGGCAGACAGCTGATCTGTAGCTTCTGGGAGGGGAAACGGTGAAATAAACACACATTCTGCCTTCTACCTCTTGGCACAGCAGGTAAGCCCTCTTAGGAGGAATCTATTTCAGGGACACTCTGATAGCAGTAGGAAAATCTGTGCCCATACTAGTCAACTAGTCACAGAACTGTGTAGAACCAAAAGAGAAAGAAAATGAAGTGTTCAACAACAAGGAGAAATAGAGAATGTAAACACAAGGGATTTCAGTGATGTGCTATTTTCAAGAGTGAAGGGAGTGTATCTTCTTTAGGATTGATTGCTATGATACAATGATGCACAGTATTGAGGGGAAGGCAAGGTTCTGAAGAAAACGTGTATGCATAGTGGTCCATCTCTCAGTCAGCAAGAGGCATTATTATTATTATTATTGTCATTGTTATTATTATTGCCAAGGGGAAAATGAACAACAGTTGCAATATTGGTGATTTTTAGTAAAAATTCTGCAAGCTTGAGTACTAACTGGAATAGCCCCTGTAAACTAACATTGTAATTTGTAATTAAAGATTCATATTAGGGAGAAGCCCAAGAGTGAGGGGCACTCCAGGGAAGTGTACACACTCTGACCTCCAACACAGCATCCAATGGTGGGGGCCGTGGCTTCCACAGAAATGGCTGATTCCAGGCATTGTGCAGGAGTCCCGAGAAGAACATACCACCGTGTCTCGCAGAATGAGATTCACTGTAATTTTTCTCTTTGCTTCTGCTTGTCCAAACTTTTCTATATTTCTAGGCTGGCATTTTAGAAATGTGAAAAAAATGAACTACTCTCTAAACATATCTTGAATATGAAAAAAGTCTTAAGACTGGTACTTGAATATTTCCACAGTATGAGATTTAATGAGGAAAATGATTTACCAATATAGAATGATTTCATTAATGATGCTGGGGTTGGTGAGATGACTCAGCAGGTAAAGGCACTTGAAATCCCTGCAATCTACATGTTGGAGAGAGTGAAATCACCCCTTAAGTTCTCCTCTGGCTTCCACCTGGGCACTGTGGCACATGCACACTGCTTGCACCATCTCCAAGTATATAAAGTAGAAAGTGGTTTGCTGATCTACAAATGATGCTTTGGTTAAAAAATGTAAAAACATCATATGTTTCATTCAATCTTAATGCATATGTTGATACACATATGTGTAAACTATGATAAGACCTATTGGCATATAAAAATATTGACATATGAACAGCATGATTTACAGAGTCAATACTGCAATTGGCCTCTTCTGTTTGGATCTGTGTCATTTAGAGGCATAGACGTGTTTGCTATGACTCACACTGAAGCCAAAAAGATAAATAAATCAAAGCTCAAACTTAACCAATGAATCACATGCCACAGTGTCTAAGTGTTTATGTAAACTTATGTAAACAATATGTAAATCAGTGGGGGCACATTCAATCTCTTTATGGACATTACCAATATATATGTAGCAAGCTAGGGACACCAACCATACTAAATACACAAGAATAACTCAAAATGCACCAGTAACTTAAGAAGTCAACTATCCAAGAAAATCATAGACGCAATTTACCATTATCTCAGCTATGGCAGTGAGCAACATTTGATACTAAAATAACAAAAGACATCAATAAATTTGGCTTGGACAAAATTATTGATAAATTATAAATATAAATATAAATTATAAATAACAGATCAATTACAGAAAGGGATAAACATTAACAACTAATCACAAGATCTAGTATCTAGATATCTTAAAATTCCATTTATTATTACTATATATGCATGTCAGTGTCATGGCTGAGTGCATACAGGTTAGATGACAACTGGTTTACTTCAGCAGCTCTTCAGTTATTAATTCATGTTAAGAGATAGGAAAGAATAAAGGGCTTGCCTTACCTACACATGGCAGGGAGTAGCCAAGCTGAGCATCATGGACAAACTGCCGATCATTGAGCCTTGTGACACAGTATAGGTGGAAGCAGTCCAAGCAGATCACGTGGCGGTGGTTACACTGGAAGACCAGGACAGGGCTCCTGCAGAGACAGAGAAGAGGTGTCTGTGGGACCTCTACGGTGGAGAGAATTCTACACTAGGGCTGCTTTGCGCATGTTCTGTGCCAACACTGTGGCTGTCCAACCTCAAACTCATCCCCTCTAAGGTGATGCATTAAACAATGGAGGCACTCCATGAGCTGTCTAGAACATTGACTGTGCTAATTTATATTTAAAGTCACTAAGTTTATCAAGCAGTTGTTTAAACCTGAGATTAAATACCATCTTTTGCTAGAAGCCTGCCCAGATTCCCAATTAACCGGCTCACTCATCACATTTTGTAGATACTCCTCCTGTCTACTTTGACTGACCCTTCCCTGATGACACACTGACTATGCAGCATGGAGACTGTTCTTCCTCTTTATCCACCATGCTCTCTATGCAACGGATAATCCCTTTACATTACACTGATGCTCCCGCAGACACAGGCCATGTGAGCTTTTACATTGTTTCTTGAATTTAATTATAATAATATATAAAATCAGAACTTGCCAAAGTCAAAAGGAAAAGGACCATTGCATCAAAGAAGCTATGCCCAACAGCCAGTGCCATTAAGCCAACAATCAAACAAGGGGAATTTAGAAAAAAGAGAACAACCAACAGGAAGTCTTTTTTTTTCTATTTTAAGAATTTTGTTTGATAATCATTCAATTTCTCAAATTGTTACAATAAGATTAATAATAAATCATAAATACAAATCTCAAGAATGTTGGGTTACCTTATACTGTGGTTGGAATGAAAAATGCCCCTGAAGATCCATATATTTGAACACTTGGTCCCCAGTTGGTGGCACTGTTCCAGGAGGTTATGGAACCTTTAGGAGGTAGAACCTTGCTAGAGAAAATTTGTCAATGTGTGTGGTCTATGAGGATATATAGCTTTGACCCACTTCATGTTCTCTATCTTGCCCTTCCAATGTGCAGACAAAAATGTGGTCAGCCAGCTTCCTGCTTCCATGCCATGCCATGCTCTCCCCACTATGATGGATTCCATCACTATGGAACCATACACCAAAGTAAACTCTGTGAGTCATCCTGTGTGGTTCTTGGCCATGTTATTCTATCACACCAATACAGAAGTAACTGATACAGTTGTAAAGTTTATAAATAACTTTATAAGAAAATAGCCTGGCGTTGGTGGCACACGCCTTTAATCCCAGCACTCGGGAGGCTGTCTCGAAAAACAAAATAAATAAATAAATAAATAAATAAATAAATAAATAAATAAATAAATCAATCTCCTGGAAATTCATATTACTTTGCTGGCAAACAAACCATGTATGCTTATGTGAAGAAGGGGACAAATTAGATTAATTTGAGATCATTTCCAAGGCAATTTCAATAGTGAAATTTCAATAGTGAAATTGCCTTGCAGTCACTTTAGATAAGATTATTGCCTGTGTAAAGACAGAATACAAACATATTCATTCACACCCAGTTCTTAGCAGTTACAAGATTTTTTAAAAATATAGTTCACTAGAAAAAAAAATCAAGGGTAAATATTAGCATTATAGCAGATAATTTCTTAACAACTACAAGGTTTAAATGATTCTGTCATCTCACTTATTTCAAAGTGGCACCTAACACAAAAAGTGGAAAAGCACCCCCTGGTGTGTTAAAGCCCACAGTTGGCTTACACTGAGCGTGAGTCCTTAAACGTGTAGGAGCGTTGTGATGAGCATCCTCCTCTAGAACACATTGTGGCCCCTTCTGGTCTGATTACTATCTGCCAGGCTGTAGTACACAATCTTTTTCCTTCCAACATCTTTCCTTCAGAGGACTATGAAATACAGCACTTTCTTCTCTCTGACTTTACCTTCTGTACACGTATGCACACCACCCAGTGTGACCTATATAGCAGCTATAGTTCACCTTCATCTGCACAGATAAGCAGTGCGAAAGATGTTCTCAACTATGATGGTGGTGGTACCACGACCAAGGCTGACCAAGCCTTAGACCACTGACCCACAATCATCACCAGCACATAATGGTGGGACTGTGAGAACACGTGTAAAGCTTCCTGTAGACAGGAAGCCTATGAGGGCATCTTCAAACGTGGCTCAGGAAACAAATAACAATCTGTAAAAGCAAACCAACCCATCTATGCTCTGCCACCATTGTGCCTTAGCACATAAGTCATTCTTAAACATTTTAAAACTTTATTTTTTATGTATATGTGTGTGCCTGAATGTATGTATGTGTACTACATTGCCTGCAGGAGCCTGAGAAGGTCGGAAGAGGGCATTGGCTCTCCGAGTATTGGAGTTAGAGGTGGTTTAGTGCTGGGAACCGAACCTTGGTCCTTTATAGAGCAGTAGGAGGTGCTCATAACTGGCTAACCATCTCTCCAGCCCTCATACACATGGATTCTTTTCCTTCCCTGTAGGAAAGGAGGCTGGGGTTGAGTTTGTTCAGGTTGAGTAGGTGGCAGCATGCATTTAACACATTTATTGTTTCTCCTTCATATGTAATGGAGTCCAAAGGCACAGAGGTCATCCACACAATCCACAGAACATGTGTTACTCTATTAATGATGTCATGGTATTTAAAATAGATTAAGGAGAGATGGAAAACACATAGGAAGTCATTCATTATATGAGACAAACTCTACAAAGATTTAGGGTCTCACACATTTAAAGAAGATTTTAGAGGCCCAGTGTTGGGGCCTGAAAAGACATCCCAACTGAAGTAAAAGGCACATGAATGCCCCCATACCACTGTAACCTCACAGAAGGAAACAGGGCATGGTGAAACTGAAGGGGGCATAGGGAGACAGGAAGAGTCCCTACAGAGCTACAGCAATCCTGGGCCACTTAGGTTCCTGGAAGTGAGGTAGAGGTGGGTGAAGGGGGATTTGCCACAGTAGTTGATACTTAAGTTCTAAGACAAGAACGGGCTACTGCCACACATGGGACTTGGAGAAGCATCTGGAACCATCAGCCTAATTAAAGGGTTTTCCAGTACGTTGTCTTGGTCATAGTGTTTTATCACAGCCACAAAGAAGCAATTAAGACACTAGTACTCGTGAAAATTAGGTGAGTGCTCAATATGATGCTCATGAAGCACAAGGAAAAGAGAGAAGAGATGAGTAGGAAGAAGACAGTGCAGACTTTATACAGGGCTGTGGGATGGCTCATGGAGACAATCCCTGCATATGTTTTCTTGACTGTGGCACTCGCTGAAGGTTTTCCTGTGTTCTGGAGGTCTGTTTCTCCTTAACTTCATATACTGAGTTGTCCCTAAAGGCACCATATTAGGAGGCATGGTCTGAAGAAGGTTCTAGGTCATGAGGACAGAGAACTCAGGAATGGGGTTAGTGCAGTTGTGAAGGGGCCCTCAATGAGTTCCCTCTCTTTCCACCCAAGAAGAACAGAGAGGCACTGTGTAGGAAACAGTAACCATGTTCTTCACAAACACCAAGTCTTCTAGTACTTTCCTCTTGAACCCCATAGCCTCAAGAAATTTAAGAAATAAATTCCTATTGCTCATAAGCTGCCTAGCTTCAGTTTTCTGATAAGACAGTCCAAACAGATGAAGCCAGTTTCTCAGTCTGCTGGGGAAGTTTTAATGAGTTTAACTTTGAGGAATGTTTGGAAGGAGGACTTCTTGGCGGCCATTTTCAGAATCTGACCTGAATTTCTAAGGATCTGGACTGAGTAACGGGAACACAAAGGTGGGTGTGTGTGACATTTTTGAGAAGGACCTGCCGGGACTTCTCGTAGGTCTTTTGTTCCTTTGAATGTTCTTTTTTGTCCTTTGACCAGATTATTTATAAATGTTACTTGATCAATCTAGAAATGATTTTACCCCCCTGAGTCAGGTTACAGAGCAGCTAATTAAAGGTTAAATAATGTTCTCAATCTTATGTAAAAATAATTGCAAACATGTGATTTGACTTTACATGTGTAAGCAACGATTTCCTGTTTTGTTAAAGGAATGATATACAGACCCTTCTATCACACAGCATTCAGCACAACTGAAGGAGATTCAGTAAAACAAAATCTATGGCAAGCCATTCCACATGTTAGCCAAAGCTATTGTTGCGTGGTGTCACTCACTTGGAAATCCTGTTCTCTGGTATCTACAAAAATGTCACCATTGTCTTTGTAATTATCCAGTAACGTATATACTTTAATCCAGTCTATCTCACATTTCCTTTGTCATTGCCTCAGCCTTTCTCCATGTTTTCATCTATCCCAGCCCCAGAACTTCCCAGATTCTCAGTGAATGTGATGTCCATTGAAAAGCAATGTGCTGGAACCTTGAAGTCATACCACAATAAAGAGTAAGTGCAAAGTCTCATGGACACAAAGTCTTGTAGCATGGCCCGGTAGGGACAAAAACAGTTTTAACACAGGGCAGAACACTAAGTTTTTTTAGAGTTGTAGAAAATCTCATCAGGCTCAATGGCAAGCAGTCTCCTTACCATGCTTTTGGAGGGTCCCTAACTCCTGCTGCAGTTCACATTGAATGGGCTGTTGTCTACAAAACAAGACAGATGAACAAAAGAGCAATGACTTCATGCTCTCATGAATACCGCTGGCTGCTGCTTGCTCTCCCCTCCATTTCAGTTATGGAGGAAAACAAGCATCCCTGGTGGGGTGGTGGGGATACTCTACAGCCAGATGGAGCACTCTGTGTTGCAAGCACCAGGGCCTCTTGGAAACAGCCAACAATGATTGTGTGTCAAGCCCACATGAACCATCTCTAAAACTGACTTCCAACTCAAGGCCAGCCCAGAGGTGACTCTGTCCCTGACTGGCATCTTGACTATAACTTTACATGCTACCAAGGGCAGGAATCATCTCAAATTCCAGACTCTTGGAAACCATGCAAGGCTAGATTCACTGTGTTCTTCAGCCATTAAGTGGTGATCTGATTTTTGTTTTCTAATGAAGCAATATTTAAGCAATATCGACTCAGAGGAGGAGGAGGAAGCCATGTTCAGTAAGCCTTAGAAGAAGGTATGAGAGAGTAAATGGC